ATTTTGGAAGAATGTATTTTGGAATAGTAGATTGATAGAGAATGTGTGGTCGAAAAAGAAGGAAAATTTATTGATGTGATGAAAAATATTATTTTATTGAAAAATATGTGGTTAAAAATGAGTAAAAGAATGAAAATTAAAATTTTAATGTGGCTCAAACGGGGGCTTAATACCTTTTCTCATTCTCTGAATACATTTGATAGTGCAGTATTGACTCTTATATGATCAAAACTATTTCCCAAGAGTTTTGTTTGACTAATTGACTTTCCAAATGTTATTTTTAATTCTCATTTACTAGCTACATTATCCTAAGAGAACTATCGGCAAGACTAGTTCATTATTCAAAATTCAAAGATTTTATACAGTGATGTTTTTCTGGTTCCATGACTAAGTTGAGTGGAGCTTTCTTACTTTAAAGATGAAATTATGAGTGTTTCTACTGTTTGGGGTGTTTCCAATAACTTCAAATCGGTGAATAGTGATTGATTGTAAAACAATTGGACTTTTAGTGGATGGGAGGGTTAGATCGATTGTCTATAAGTCAGGGGCTTTCCAAGGCACAGAACAATTTAAAATAGGGTATTTATATAGAAGTTTCATTTATTTTCTTCTAAAGAGTCTCATTGCTGATTGGCATTATATCTTTGATTTCTAGTTATGTTCTAATATGGTTCAAGTTCGATTGCCACAATAACTCTCACTTGTGGAGAAAAATTGGTGCAAAAACAGAGTCTCCATCATCTTCAATCATAAAAGATTCTTAGAATAATTCCACTTATGACGTTCTCAGATATCCCTTTTTTTTTTTTTAAAAGTTGCATATTCGAATTAAAAACGTTAAGTCACCATCATCTTCAAGGACCAAGTATATTTGGATAATTTACTATGTATATTCTTATAGTATCCATTTGATTTCCTTATCTGATTCCTTTTGATATTAAGTGGTCAGGTTGGAAGATCAAAGAAAAGAAGGCCTAGCGGGACATTCCTCTTCAAACATATTTCTGGTACAGTAATAAATGGTATGGAACTTTCTGATTCTAACTCTTGAAATAGATAAGTGTATATGTTCAAAAACACATGCTCTCACACACATTGACTGAATTAGAACCTATAGGATGCTACACAGTCCATAACCTTTGTTCAGTATTTATTCGGGTGTACAAAATAGTAATATGCATTATAGCTTGTGTTCTTGTAGAGAGTAAGACACAACTTATCCATTTTCAAATTTAAAGAACTGTTAATCTTGTTGCATTTAAACTTTGCCATAAATTTGTAGTCACAGACAACTTGTGGGAAATGAATTATTTGGATATTTTACGTCATCTAGCTTGTTAATATGAGATATTTGACATATATTTCTTGAAGCTTATATTTGACTACTTTCTGTATGTATATCTTTGACTGAAGTTGTGGAGCTTTTCCTTACTGGAATTCTCATTTAACCAAATAATAAATTGAGGGTAGGCTGAAAGTATATCTTGGAGTCAAGGTCATCTGGTTCTCCCCGTGAATTATTTGTTATTTATTCCATCTTTCTAGTTTTATTTTTTTCTTTTCAGGTTTGGTGAGCCACCCATATAGTTCGACCATGAAATTACTAGCATATAATTTATTTGTGCTTGTTTTGGTTTTGGAGGTAACTAAGTGTGTAAATAATATTTTGGTCTATATCAATTTGGTTGGCAATAATATAATTTATATATATATATTTTTTATCTATTTTGATATCATTTATATTTTAATAATTGTACATTGCGACGAAAGAAATTGAATATTATATGTTTAAAATATAATCCTAACATATATAAATAAAGATAAAATAAATTAGGCGACAAATTGTACATTTTTGAAGCGACAAACTCTCTGTGTTGAGGAATAAATATAACTACAAGTACAACGTGACACACACACACACACACATATATATATTGTCACAAAATAATTTGTGTAATATTTTTATATGTTGTAAAATAAATACGCAACATATATAAATAATCACGAATAAATTAGGCAAATATACATTGTTGTAGAAATGAGCTACTTTTGATAGACAATGTGATTTTGAACCAAAAAAAAGTGCTTAATCATAATTTATAGTTCGCAAGATTCCAACACATTTAGCCCTTGTTTGGTGGGGATCAAAATTAGATTAGTAGATTTTGATAGAAGTTGATGAATTGTGTAATTAAAAGTTGTTGGATCCATAAAATATGTGGTCAAAATTAATTATTGATTTTGATTTAGATTAAAATTTAGAATTTAACTCAAAACGCTAATATTACCTTTAAAATAACCCGGCTCGTACATTGCACGTACAATGAATTGGCCTGTTTTAAAACAAATGAGCCTTAATTTTTTTAGGGTCCACATATAATGTATTTGGGGCACTAGGCAGCAGCCTTTGCCTGCCCAATCCCAAAGCAGACACTGAATAGAAAGTTAACTAACTCAATTGGGTCCAATAGGTTGGTAGCTAAAATCAATTTTAGTAAAAAAAAATAATAATAATAATAAAAATACTAACTCAAAAGTGTTGTGAAAGAATTAATACTTGATTGAGATAAAAGTTTGTTCGAGATAAAAATCATACTTTGAAAATATAGCTCAAAGTGTGATACACGTTCAAATGAAAAGCAAAAACACATACGAAAGGATTGTGTTAGTTAATTAATAAATTTATTTTTTAACTTATAAGTGATTTTTCTTATATAAGCATTTATATAACTTTTTAAGTTAGTTTCATAAGTAATTTTTAAGTGATATAATTTTTTTATTTTTTAACGTGCATAAGTTTTTCAATTAAAAATGAATTTTTCACAATTAAATATTTTCTTATAACTTGATTTTTAGGTAAAAATTATTATTTTTACTTACAAATAAAATTATTAACTACTCATCCTACATGACATATTAATTTTATACGATTAAATAAAGGAGAATAAGCACCCCAATTTAATTTAATCAAGGTACCTACTATACCAAACATTGAATAAAGATAAAGATCGAATTATTTTAATCGTTTATCTGAATGAAAAAACTCCAATTCAGGCAATTATACGAACCACAATGCATGATAGGAAATACACAGAATCTAATCTTTTCTACTTAATCATTTATCTGAATGAAAAAACTCAACTAGATTTATTAATTGGAAAAAGCTCGAGTAAGGTGCACTTTAGCGATTTATAGCAAGTTTAAGGATTAAATTGTAAATTGTGAAATTTTTTAAGAATCATAATTTTATAAGTCTGTAGAATGTTGCAGTGAATTTGATTAATGATAATAGTAGGTTTTATGATATTAAACTTGAGATTGGATCCTAAATGCAACAATTGTAAAGTTTAGGGACTAGATTGAAAATAATGAGATTAATTTTTAGACAAAAAAGAAATGGTGAGTTGAGATGATTAGTGATGAGAAGCATCGCAGCATGCTAACAGTTTTGATTTTTGCGCCTTTTGAGATGTTAAGGGACCAAAATGAAAATAAATATTAAATTCTATTTTTATTTATTTGAGCCAAAGAGCTAATTATCGAAGAAGCGAGAATTACCCTATCAATACTAGGCTTATTTCAAAACTCGTATTAAATGGCGAATTATGAACTCAAGAAAAAATTAATTTAGATAAGCCAAATCGAGTTATAGCTTATTAAAATAAACTACTTGATGTGTAATTTAGTTTTCAAATTAAGACCAAATTACAATATCAATATTGGACTAGTTTTGAAGCTTGTATGTAATGGAGTATTATGAACTCTAGAAAAAGTTATTTTGAATAAGTCAAACTCAAGCTACGATCGATAAAAATCACACTTTAACCACGAGGATATCCCGTAGCAAAAAGCCAGCTGAAAAACCTATTGATCACCCTATTCTTGAATAAACAATTTGAAGTTTTGCAGGAAAGTGAAGGTGCTTTTCATTTTAAGCCTTTCTATCCCAATACAAAATGAAGTTTGGAAGGAAAGACAAGAATAGAACTTTGGATAAACCCAACTTAAGACCCCACTTTTGAGGAAAACAAATTAATCGTGTCAATACGTTGGCCTGTTCCTCGAGTGTGAGTATTCCGTAATCGGATCTGTTTCCTTGCTCTAGTTTAATAAAACACATAATTCTACTGGCTTTTCTTTATTCTCTTATATGTTCTCTCTAATTTATAACACGTTATTAGTATGATTTCTCTTCAAAAGGTAGTAATATTTTTAATAGCATGGAAAGAGTTTGCTTTCAAATCGAGTAATGTTATTCACAATCGCTCATTACGTTGTCACTCTACGTGGCATACACATTTGATCTTTAATATGGTAGTTTTTTATTGATTCGTGTATCAAATAATCACTTTTCATGTGTAGGATGACTCTCATAGTGAGCGACGGTAAATAACATTATTCTTTCAAACCATATACATTATTTTTGACTAATCCTGTTTTCATATCCGTAGTCATGTAAAAGGTGGCATCAACTCCTAGAATATTCACGATTACCCTACAGGTTATCATTCCTAGAATATCCACGTATCAATTTTATGTTTCAGGATGACCTGTGAGGATAAATTAGACAAAGGGTTTTGCTGTGTGTGCACTGAAAATGTCATGTTGGCATATCCATTTGTATTCATCTCTGTAAATTTTTGTTGCTCATCCGTTAATTTAGGAATTCCCCATTCACGTCCATATTCAATTGTCATGGTTTACTAATGAATTTAATCAATTCATGCATAGGGTTTATGTGTTATATTTTTTCTCTCTACCAAGTGCATGTCTGGATTTTTAATGCAGTTGCTACTTTTCAAAAAAGAAGAAACATACCATGTTTTATCAATTTTGTCTGTGTTCACGTCGAAAAAGACGAACGAACGAAAAAATAAAGAGAATGAACGTCGTTTCCTTTACAAAAAGTAGCATGAAAAGCTAAGATTGATAATTTTCGAATCCCACCAATAAAAAGTTCTAATCACAAAAATAAAAAGATAAAATATAACGAAAACTTTTCAAAGCGCGTGCAAAAAGGCGGAGGATATCATATCAGCCGTGTAAACGACCTTCACAACACCTAAACCATAAACAAACTCTTCCATTCTCACTCTCACAAACAAATTTTTACATAGACCCGTTTATCTGAGAGTATATAATATGATCCATTGGTGGTAATTGCTTAAACTTTTTCTCTTTTCTTACAGGATTTGAAGATCTGATGGTGCGTACTACAATAGAAATCCCTTCTGTCAACTTCACCTGGGCACAATTTTGTGCTGCCACAGACGTTTTTATGAGATCCCACATTTTGTATATCTTTCATAGAGGATTTATAATGACTTCCAACGGTAAAAGCGTTGAGTTCATTGTTCCTGCATTGCTTACTTTCTTGCAGGTTAAGTATCAGGGAATAGACAAAAATCCATTCATAACTCACTCCAAAACGATGCAAATGGCAATTTTTAGTTCGTTGATGTATATTATTTTGGCATATGGAGCAAATTTGAGGATTGATATGCACCATAACCAGTCAACATACCCTTTTCATTGTATGGTGTTCTTCGGCAATACGGCAGTGGCATCACTGGCATCGATCTTCCTCCCGGACTCCATTAGGCCTGTTCTGTACGTGCTGTGTGCATTGATATCAGCTGGTGAATTTCTATACTGGGTTTACCAAAGAGAGGAACACGTTTTCATGAGACATATCCGCCGGTTCTTCAACACTCTGTGGATGTTTTCGTTTGGATACTTCTCTATTGAACAAAGAGACATACTTCCAAGGTTCGCAATCAACAATTTACAATAGAAATGGTGGCTTGTGCAGTGAAACCATGTTGCTGGGTTTTGGTTTTGAAGCTGGAGATTCAGAGACAAAAGTATTTTCGGTTTTGACAAGGCTGGATTTTTTGTCACTAATAATATTTCACTCATGTTTTTCTTCCTCTATGTTGTATGTAAGTGTATTTTGTATGAAATGAATGATTAAGAACTTAGGATTTTATGAGAAAGCCCTAAATTTTCAGTTTTGCTTTTCTTCGGAAAATGGTATGTAACAAAAAAAGAAAAGACAAGAGATAATCTGTGGTCTATATCTTATGCACTTATCCTTCGAATGGACGTTATTAATAAATATATAACCTCTGAAAAATCGATTATGACACCTAATAAACTGGCGCCAAGGCGGCAGAGGCGGCTGCATCGACCGATCGACGGCCTTAGCCGCCGGCGTGAGCCCTGATGTCTGCTGGTTATTCGACCATGAAGCCGCCGCCACTTGAGCCACACCGATGTTGCTACAGTTCCTTCTAGCCTTGTTGCGCAGCTGCTGCACGAAGTTCGGCGGGAATCTGAAGATCAGAGAAGAAAGGCCGTACCCTGCCGCCGCTAAAATAATTGATTTTTTCACCGTAGGAAGGGATCTCAGGACGGGAGAAATCCGGACCTGAACGGTATTCGAAGGACGGAAAAGCCATGGCGCAGCTAGACACGGCCATTAGGGTTCGAAATGATTAACCAAGGGACGAAAAATGCAATAAAATGGTAAATCTTGGAGCCTGTAAAGACTTTCCCGGAATTGTAGAGAAATCTTCAATCTCAATGTTTACGGGCTGGCATTTTAAAGGATGGTGCTAACAGATTCGTTGTATAAGAAATGAATGGCATATTAATTAACAGAATTTTGATTTCAAGCAACTTATTCCGAAGGCTAAGAGGGGATAACCTCAAAAACAAGAATGAAAATGGGATCCATTTGATTTATAAAGTTGTCGTTCCTATTTGATTTTCATTGTCTAAAAACCCATTTAATGTGTGATCTAAATCTAAAAATTATATATGTTTGGTAAACATATTTGATTGATAAGTGGATACACAAAGACTATTGGGATTTTTTATCACTGTGAATTGAAAACATTTAATACATTTAGTTGATTGGTGAATAATAATTTGTAGAGAAATTATAATCAAATTCTAAAAAATTAGAAAGGTTCTGTAAAAAGCGTGAGGGAGACAGTCGCAAGAGAGTAAGAAAAAAGAGAGAAAGTTCATTTCAAAGCTCGTACATTATGAACTCAAGAAATGGTTAATTTATTTAAGCAAAATCGAGTTATAACTCATTAAAATAAAGTGCTTGTATAATATCAATATTGGACTCGTTTTGAAACTCTCATTAATGGAGGAGTATTACAGGCTCGAGAAAAAGTTATATTGAATAAGTTAAACTGAAGCTACGACCGATAAAAATCACACTTTAACCACAAACTATTCTTTAAGACAAAAGCCTACCAAAAAACCTATTAACTTCCCTATTCTTGAACAAGAAGTTACAAAATGATAAGTTCTAGGCTTTTCCTGGGCAAGAACAGAGCTTAGGACAAAATCCAAACTTTAGGATCTCACTTTTCAGAAGGGTCAGGGAAAAAGGAAAAGAAAAAAGGGCATCTTGAGAATATGCGTGCCAGTAAAAGGAAGTTAAGAAAGTTTTGATGCTTGAGAAAATAATTTGATCAGTGTTAAGAAGCATGGAATAATTTGGATACTTTCAAAAAGCAAGGAATAATTGAATGGTCTTAAAAAGGGGTGAATAATTTCAAAGTATAGAAGGAAAAAATTTAAACAAAAATCTCAGGCTCCCTTCATAGAATGATTAAATTCCCTGAGAATTTTAAGACTCTAAGCGATTAATTTTTATGAGGCCTTATAATTTCATTTTTCATCCACGTATCTATCTTCCTCTAAAAGAGAGGATGCGTGGAGTACTGTTCATTTCTAGTTTGCCTAAGGCTAAGAGGGGATAAACTTAAAAACAAAAATGAAAATGGGATCCATTTGATTTATAAAGTTGTCGTTCCTATTTGATTCTCATTGTCTAAAAACACATTTATTACTTGATTCTCAGTGAATACACGAAGATTTGAAAAAAAAAAATTATATATGTTTGGTAAACATATTCGATTGATAAGTGGAGACACAATGACGATTGGAAACATTTAATACAGTTATTTGATTGGTGAATAATAATTTGTAAAGAAATTATAATCAAATTTTAGAAAATTAGAAAATATATCAAAAGTTAACTTTAAATTTGCTGTTTCTAGCATTGGGAAGGAAGGAAAGGTTGTGCTTCAATTTTGGTTCGAAACAATCGTGATGTATAAGTCGAGCAGTTTATGTTCTAACTCTAGTTGTAGAAAGATCGGACTTTAAAAAATATTTCAAGAGTTAACTTTGAACTTGCTATTCTGGCCCTGTGAAGGAAGGAAATGTTGTTGATCAATTTTGATTAGAGACAGTCGTGATATACGAAGGTGGAACATCGTGTGTTCTAACTTCCAATTGTTGTTGAAATGCTACACTTTAAAAAATATGTGCTGAAACCAATGTTGAACTTTAAATTTACTTTAAAAAATATTTCGAGTGGACCACTTTGCAATGGCATTCCCTTTTATGTGCTGAAAACATGATAGAAAACACGTTATTGCATCTAAGAAACAGACAAATTGTTCTTAGCCTTTTAGTAACCTCTTTTTACCCTTTTTAATTGTTCTCTTTCTACGCTTAATATCTTTATATTCCCTTAATTAATATGAGCTACTCCTCCCCTATAACTACCCTTCACAAACAAGTGAGACCATTTCTCATGGTTAAGTTTTCTACTTTTATATACATTTTGTTGCATAGATCTTTACGTGCTTAAACTTTTACTCTTTTCTTGTAGGATTTGAAAATCCAGTGGCGCATAATACAAGGGGAATGCCTTCTCTCAACTTCATGACCTGGGCACAATTTTGTGCTGCCAATGTCTATATTAGATTCCAGATTTTGTATATCCTTCAAATTAGAAAACTTAGCAAATATTTTGTATAAACTGAAGATAATTAGTAACAACATTACATGTTATCAGTATATATATACAAAAAGGATAACAAAACCATGCTGAAAATATTCTATTGCACCCTATACAAACTTGCCAAGTGTATAACAACCAATACTCTCCCACTCCTAGAAATAAGGAATACTCCATGCACTCAAACAGATTCTTGTATCAGCTCGTGAGTGGGAATTGTAGCATCTATCATTACTGAATAAATGGTTGATTAATTTTAACTCTTCATATAGGGTTTACAATCACTTCCAAATGTCAAAGCAATTGCATCACTGTTACTACGTTGCTTGATTTCTTGCAGGTGAAGAATAACGGAATAGACAACAGTCTATTTATAACTCACTCCAAAACTATGTATATGGCAATTGTTAGTTTCTTAATGCATGCTTTTTTGGCATATGGCATGAATCTGGAGTTTGATTTACACGGTAACCCCCCAACTTACCATTTCCAAGGTATGGTGTTCTTTGGCAATACGGCAGTGGCATCACTGGCATCGATTACCCTTTCCATTGTATTGTGTTCTTCGGCAACACGTCAGTGGCATCACTTGCATCGATCTTCTTCCCCGACTCCATTAGGCCTGTTCTATATGTGCTGTGTGTATTGATATCAGCCGCTGAATTGCTATACTGGGTTTACGAAAGAGAGGAAGACGTTTTCATGAGACATATCCGCCGGTTCTTCAACACTCTGTGGATGTGGTCATTTGGATACTTCTTTACGGAACAAACAGACATACTTCCAAGGTTCGTAATCAACTAATTACAATAGAAATGGTGGCTTGTGCAGTGAAACCATGTTGCTGGGTTTTGGTTTTAAAGCTGGAGATTCAGAGAAAAGTATTTTCAGTTTTCACTCATGTTTTTCTTCATCTTCATCTATGTTGTATGTAAGTGTATTATTGTAGTGTTCTACGTCTTTTAAGTGTAATATTATTGTAGTGTTCTACGACATTTTAATCACTCTTCGCTTTAAATGTACAATCCATACAAGGGGCTTTTTTGTTTTATTTTTCCATTATAATATAAATTATAACATTGACCTTTTTTGGCTAAGTAATCTCTAAGTAATTTGTTGTTTCTATACATATTTGAATTACGTGCTTTTTTTTAATCGTTTTAAATAAATGTCTTTTTTATCAACAAAAAAATATTTTATTCCAATACTCATACTTGGAAATTTGCAAGGATAGTTCTCAACCTTTAAATCATGTGTGAAACCAGTCCTCATTACTCTTCCTTTGTCTACTTTTATTATCTTCGAGATAAATAACTTTACAAGTTAAAAATATTTCTAATTTAATGTTACTTTATCTATATAACTTTATGAGCTATGTCGACTATAATTGTCTTATCGTTTTTTATCATTTTTTAAAAATAAAAATATTAAAAAATAAATAAAAATACGTAAACTAGACCAAAATGTTTCTAATTATGTGCCGACAAGTTTCCACTATAAAAGCCTGCCAAAAAATGGTATTTGATTCAATAATAAGTGGAAATTGATTAGAGACGTGTTGTCAAGAAGGTCGCCCAATATAGTTGAGAGAAAATTATTTGACGGTGGCTAAAAAAAGTATTACGAGAAAATAAAATTTGAATTTTGATCAACTCACAAGTGATTCCACGTTATTTTGATATCTTCACAAGCTTTAAAAATTTTAGAAGAAAAAGAAGAGGAAAAATGTTAAAAGTATTGGATTATTTAGTCAAAGAAATCGTGAAGATTTAAAAAGAAAGGAGAAATGTTATATGTATTGGATTATTTAGTCGAAAAGATTATGTGAACAAAAAGAAGAGGAAAAGTGTCCGAATTATTGGATTATTGATCTGGAGGGCATGGAGCATGGACTTATTATCTTCGAGGTATATAACTTTACAAGTTAAAATATTTCTAAGTTAATGTTACTTTATCTATGTAATTTTATGAGCTCTGTTGACCATAATTGTCTTATCGTTTTTATCATTTTAAAAAATTAAAAAATTAAAAAAAATACATAAACTAGCCCAAAATGTTTCTAATTATGTGCCGGCTAGTATCCACTATAAAAGCCTGCCAAAAAAGTGATTGACAAAGAATTGTCATTGTTGAAAGACTTTAATACAATTTAAAATATGATATAGGCTTTGGGTTTCTTCGGTCACTTTCACGTAGAAGTGTAAGATGAGTCCACTTGGATGGTTAGACAAGAGCGCCATATGTTTGTAAACTTTGACGGGTCACCTCAAGTTGGCCACGCAAGTTCAATAGAACACAATCCTTAAAAGCCTGCCAAAAAATGGTATTTGATTGAATAATAAGTGAAAATTGATTAGAGACGTGCTAAGAAGGTCATGTTGGGAAATTATCTAATGGGCCGACATTTGTAATTAATTGTATATAAAGTTTATCTTAAAGTTAAGCCCAAAATTAAAGTGATCTAATAAGGTAAAAATTCACAACTCAGGCTTTATCTATCCAAAAATCAAAAATCAGATCCAAGGTTTAGAATTGCAAAAATCTAAAACTCAAAACACAAAACTGAAACACAAAGAGAACGGCCCCTTAGATTGTCAAAAATCAGGTTTTTCATAAATTAATTAATTATATTTTACAATTATTATATTAAATTAAATATTTAACTGTAATATAATATAAGTAACCCAACCCCACCCCACTCCATCTCACCTCTGCTCCGGCGACTACTCCTATGATCAGCGACCACTCCGGCGACTGTTCTCCGATCACAGGTCACATATCAAAAATTTTGTAGGTTACAGATTTTTTCGAAGTCATGGATCTAAAATTTTATAAGTCACAATTTTTTCATCGGTCACAGATCAAAATATTTTTAAGTCACGGATTATTTCGAGATCACAAATCTAAAATTTTATAGGTCACAGATTATTTTATTGATCACAGATCAAAAAAATTGTATGTCACATGTCACGTATTTTCAAATTTGTTGGTCACAGACACGAACAAATTATTAATTTTAAAGTCACTGATCAATAGATAGGTCACAGACATCACAAAGAACCACCACCGTCGTTGACCCCACCACAACAATAACAAAAAACGACCACCACCACACGAATCACCATCACCACCACGACCGCCACCACAGATCCATCACCACCGCACGGAACATACCACCACAGATCCACCACTTCCACAACCACACATCCCCAGATCTGCGACATTTTCCAAAATCAAACCCCATCAACACTTGGTCACAACCACCACCAACACATGGTCATAAAATCTAATAATCCAAAACAGTAACCCAGATTAGAGTTTTAGTCAAAATAATTGATCTACCTCAGATTTACAATTACCTTTCTATGTCTTCTTGTGCTTTTTAATTCCTGATAAAAAAAAATCAAGTAGAACATTAGTTTTGGCTCAATTCATTCTTCCGCCTTGCATTTCCTTCGAGGGAGGGGAAAAGGAGGGGGGAGGGGACGCTTCTGCCTGAACGGCAGCAGCGCTGTTGTCGCAGCAGCGTCACAGTGACTATGTTTCTGCGATTTGCAGCAGAGGGAGGGAAAGTGAGAGGGAGGAAGAGCTTGTTAGAGTATTTCAAAATTTTAACTCTCTAAATTTATAGATACTCTCCAAATGATAGAATATGTTATTTAAAAATAGAGAGTCTATTGGAGATACTCTAAACCAATTGTGAAACCCGTCATTACTTATCCACTTTTAGTATCTTTGAGGTTTATAAATTCACAAGTTAAAATCTTTCTAGTTGATGCTGAATTAATGTTACTTTTATCTATGTAACGGTACGAGCTCCGCTGACTATCATCGTCTCATCGTTTTTATTGCTTTTCTAATTTAAATCATATTTAAAATACATAATAATATTAAAAATTAAATAAAAATAAGTAAATTAGCCCAAAAGACAAAATGTTTCTAATTATGTGCCCACTAGTGTTCACTATAAAGCCTACCAAAAATGGTATTCGATTACACAATAAGTTGACATTGATTGAGATGTGTTGCCGAATATCTAAACATTAATTTATTCAATGTTAGAGATTCTATTAGCTCATGTTACTTTACTTCACATCATAATCATTTGTTAGCCCCGTTTCTAGATAAATACGTCACTTAAATTATGTTGAGGTTCAAAAATCTTAAAATTGAGGACAAATAGATCGTGAGATTTTTAAACACAATTTATTTATAAATTTTGCAATCGCAACGTGATTAAATGTTGACATATTAAATTGGAAACTAGTACATCAAATTGCTTTGGTCATATAAGAATGGTTGAAATAAGAAATGAATACCCGTGAAAAGTCGAGGTGATTCCATTGAAGATAAAAAAGAGAAAAAAAAATGACAACTTAGAATTGTTAGACATGTACCGTGTACATTCGGAGTTCGCTTTCACAAGAATCAATGAGGTCCCAAAAGAAAACATGTCAGTGTAAATAATACAAATCAAATTGATAAATCAAACAAAGGAAAAAAAAAACTAAGAGAGGAGGAAGAAGAAGAAGAAGAAACCGATTATAAAAGCCTTAAAAATTAGGGCAAAATAAATTATAATGAGTTTATATACTGCAAAATAAAGTAAACAAAAAAGGAAACTAAATATTATACAATAATATTATATCTAATTATATATAACATCCTCCTCAAACTCACGATGCTATAACAAAAACCAACGAGAGTTTGTCAAGGAAGAAGTGAAAACAATGAACTGGACGAGACTTCGTAAAGAAATGAACAAGTTGTAACGATGAAGAAACAAAATGTAGAGAAATGGTACCAGTCTGCAGATGATGACGAATCAGATGACAGTTAATCTTAATATGCTTCGTACGCTCATGGAACAGAGAGTTTTGAGAAATTTGAATAACACTTTTATTATCACAATATATATAGGGGTTGGAGATGATGAAGAAATACTCATGTCTGCAAGTAACCAACGCAACCACACAATCTCAGTAGTAGTGGATGTCATAGCACGATACTCTACCTCAGTAGAGGAACGAGAAACAACAGTCTGTTTCTTGCTCTTCCAAGAGATAAGGGAATCACCTAAAAATATACAAAAACCAGTAGTGGACTTGCAGTTGGTGGGGTTATTGGCCCAATCAGCATCAGAGTAGCGACGAAACATTAAAAAGGAGGTTGATGGAAATAAAAGACTCTGAAAACAAGTACCACGAAGATAGCGCAAAATACGAATAACAGCTGTCCAATGAACTATAGAAGGCACCGAAGCAAACTGACTAACAATGTGAACAACATAAGCAATATCGGGACTTGTGATGGTAAGATAAACTAGACATCCAACAATGGTGCGATACAAAGTGGGATCAGTCAAGGATACACCGTCAAATGGTGAATATTGAATGTTGAACTCAAGAGGAGTATCAGCGGTTTTAGTATCAGCTCAAGAGGAATATCAGCAGTTTTAGTATTAGTAAGACGAGTACTCTCAATAACATCCATATTATACTTAGACTAAGAGATAAGATAACCTCTAGGAGAAAAAGCAACTTCAATCTCCAAAAAATAAGATAATGCACCTAAATCCTTCATTTCAAAACGACGAGCCAATTCGGATTTCAAATCT